CATATTTCCGTAACGGCTGAATCTGCCTTTGCCAAAAACTAATCAGCACATCTCCCTATTGATAGGAATCGAATGTTTTTTAAACCATTCAAATCGGTTGATCCGTGCGCCCGAAAACGTGGTCGAAAAAATGCGGACATACAAAACACACACACACACATCTATTTTTTCTGAGGTATGCCAAAATGTTCGGAAACCTTCAAAACGTCGAGAAATGCAAAAATTTTCATTTTCGATTTTCGGCCCATTACTATAACTATACCCTACGGAAAGTTAATAAACGAAAAAAGTGAGGTTTTAGCAATTTTGATAAGATTTTGGTTTGTTAATTTCGAAAATAAAATTTTTGCTTTCACTTCATAATTTATACGGTCTCTAATTAATGTCTTTCTAACATACTTATAATATCTGTAATTGTTCAACACAAAAAAATTGTATAATTTTAATATGGCATACTAGTCTTGAGCCTATATATAAATTATAATACCATTTAAGTATTCACAAATTATATTGTTAGATTATTGCATTAAGGGCGGCGCAATACTAGAAAGGTTGTAAACCACTGCCTTATTGAGTTACGTTGAATGTCTTTCAATTTTTTGAAATCGGTCTAGCTGTTTTTATGAAAACGTCGATAAAAGAACAAAAATCGGCTCACACGCACGTATTTTTTCCAAATCTGGTCCCATTCAATTCAGAATGGCTTGAATCGTCCAGAAAACATTTATAAATCGGATTTTCTGCATAATACATAAACTTTGGGAAGTTAAATTTTATGGTTGTGGCAACTCTGAAGAAATTTAAACTATATTCATATGGGTTATTTATTTTTGAATGTATTTTGTTGGTAGCGCTGCAGGCGCATAACCATAAAGTAAAAAATTGACTTCTAAATTCTAGACTTATTGAAGTAAAACTAGGGTGTAAATCTGTACAAATGCAACGGAAGTGCGTTACGGCAGATAAGATAAGAGTCGAGTGCCAATGAGTCGTCATTAGCTCTCGATGATATCATTTCTATACAGGTCAATTGTGATTTCTCTAATGAAGGTTCATTTCCAAATGCTAATTACAATGACAAACCGATCATGTCATATTTGGAGTATGACTTTAGTTGCATTATTGTTTTTAAATATTATACATATTTTTAATGCTATTATAAATATATAATTTATAATTTATCATTATAATGATAGACTTATATATATAAAGTGTGTATAATGGTTGGCACTAATAAATGTGTGCATCACGAGTGTTACCATATTACTAATAAACATTATTCAAAATTGTTATATGATGTATTTATTTTTATTTAATGGCCATCTTGTACAGTAGCAAATAAGTTTTACTTCAATCGCGTGTGAACCTTACGCGCACTCTTTTTTTATCAATTATTTATTATTCCAGGCAATGGAAACAAGATCATTTACAAGTTTTTTTATTAGAAGACCAAGAAAAAGGAGTCCTGGATAAACAATTGGACGAAAGTGCAGACGTTTTGGAAAAACAATATTTGGACGGAAAATTATTGGTGACAAATGTCAGGGTCGCCAACGATTCTAGAGAAGTCAAAAGGAGGCATGACCAGGCTCAAATTAGAGATGGTAAGAAATAGAGTAGTATTAAATAATATTAACTCCTCAGGGGGCTTCCATTAATGATGTGAGCTTTAAAAGGGGTGAGGGGGGTTGACAAAAAAATACAAAATATCACGTAGTGGAGGGGGGATCTATTAAGATATCACGTGTATATCTAAAAATTTTCAAAAAAAGTGTAATGGTTAACAACCTCTTTTAATCTGAACCCCAACCAGCTTGATATCAAGCAGTATGTTATCAAATTTCCACTTGAGGATAGAGATCTCAAACGCCATTTAATCACGTGAGCTTTAAAAGGGGAGGGTGTTTGACAAAAAATCCCGCAATATAACGTAGTGGTGGGGGAAAGGGTGGTTGACAAAAAATACAAAATATCACATTGTGTAGGGGGGGTCTTTAAGATATCACCTATGTCTATTTAGATTTTTTTTTAAATTGAGGTAAAAAATATATTTTTTACAATTTTACAATTTTTTAAAATTTTTCAAAAAAATTAAAAAAACTCGTGTAATGGTTAACAACCTCATGGTGTAATGGTTATCAACGTGGGCTAGCATAAACTAGTCTCGGGTTCGATTGGTCCAACATCGGCCAGTACGATATCAAGCAGTATGATATCAAATTTCCTCTTGTGGTTATAGATCTCAATGTAGTCTCGATTAAAAATCGTCGCAGAAACGGCTTGGCAGATTGAGTGCATTTTAATTTTTTGGTCCAGTCCTTTAAATTTGTAATTTAATTTCTTCTTCTAAATTATTATTTACAACTATCTTTTACCTTTAGAGATAATGAAGAAATTGGAGGAAGAATCCGACATAGCCCTGGAAAAGTACAATGAAATCAGTGAAGCCTGGTCGAATATTGTAGAGTGCGTGGACCCCCTTGACATCGAAAGTGGAATGATCGCCCAGAAGGAAAGATGTGATGATTTAATAGCCCAGAAAGACCAAATCATCAAGGAACTGAGAGAAGAAATGGAAAGGGCTGATGAAAGATTCTCCATTGATCAACAGATTCAGGTAAGGGGGCGTCCATTGATCACGCGATCGATTTTTTAAAGAAGTTTTGGACCCCCCTCCCCCTTGGTGATAAGTGGTGATATTCAAAGCAAAATTACATTGCCTTCCTCACCAAACATCACGCGTACTTTTAGTTACGAGAAATAATGGTATTTTTTTTTGTAAATGCTTAGATTTTAAAAAAAAATTAGGTAAAAAATAGATACATGTGATATCTTAATATACCCCCCCCCCTTTGCCTAAAAGCCTCGCGTGATTAATGGACGCCCCCTAAGATGAAATAAAGGATCTAGTAAGATATGATGTGTATTCGTTTTTTACCTATTTTTTAAAAAATCAAGACATTTTTCAAAATATTCCAAAAAATTTCGGTTGATTGAAGAAGTTAGTGTAGTTTTCAATATCACCTTCAATTAATTAATGGACGCCCCTCTAGATGTGAGTGGCATTTTGTTTTACACCAGTTGCTTTAGACGTTTCAAAATGTGTGAATGAAATAAAGGATCTAGTAAGATATGATGTGTATTCGTTTTTTACCTATTTTTTAAAAAATCAAGACATTTTTCAAAATATTCCAAAAAATTTCGGTTGATTGAAGAAGTTAGTGTAGTTTTCAATATCACCTTCAATTAATTAATGGACGCCCCTCTAGATGTGAGTGGCGTTTTGTTTTACACCAGTTGCTTTACACGTTTCAAAATGTGTGAATAATTAAAAATTATCATTATGATATCAAATGATATCAAATAATATAAATTATCATTAATAGGAAATAATTGAGTTATTTTTAACGATTATGTTCGGCAAATAGTTTGAATTGAAAAAAAAGTACTAGTGCTGGCCATGTCGTCCAAACCTAACACAACGCTTTCCCATGCATTTTTACTTAGGCTTGGATACACATGGTAAGGGGGCGTCCATTAATCACGTGTGAGCGAGTTTTTAAGGATTTTTGGAACGCTCCTCCCCCTTGGCGATATTCAAAAACACCTCCCCCCCCCAACAAACATCACGTGTATATTTAGTTACGGGAAAAAACTATTTTTTTAACTTTTTTTTAAAAAAATGTTTGAACTTTTTTTAAAAAAATAGTTAAAAAATAAAATACACGTGAATCTTACTATACCCCTCCCTCGCCCACGTAATATTTTGTCAAACCGCCCCCTAAGCGTTACTTAAATATTTTTACTTCAAATAATTCTTTAAAGATAAACTAGTGGACATGGCATTAGGGCAATTGCTCGAACCTTTCGTAACATAATTAATAATGGAATTGCAAAGGTAAATTCGAGTATATACTTAAGTAAAATTTAAAATTTTATTTAGAATTAAATTTAAAATTAGTCTTGCACCGAATACTCGGTTACTATATAGTATTCGGCATATTTGGAACCTTTTTTGATATTTGGCCGAATAGTTAAAATCAAAGTAGGCGCCGCCGCCGCTCAGCGATAGTATTCTGTGTGTTTTATCTTTTATGCGATAAAGAGTTTGCGATGGATCTATATATTTGCTAGTCTACATTTTACATAAAATGATACGAAGAAATGAATTCGTAATTGTATTTTGTATATATAATCATTCAAATTTCATCGAATTTTGAGATTATGAACGAACACATTTCTCAATATTCAAAGGACACGTTATTGTTATAGGTTTATGTTAAGAATAATTGCCTTTGTCAAAAACTAATCAACACGCCTTTCTATCAATAGGAGTCGAATGTTTTTTGAATCAGCAAATCGGTTGATTCGCGCTCCTGAAAACGTCAATGGAATATTGTATCCAAAAGTTTCGCCGTTTTAGAGGCGTAAAGATATAGAAAAATTTATATTCTATTATTTTTTTGCGATTATTATGACTTACGGAAAGTTAGTAAACTAGTGGTGCATGGCATCGTGCCTTAAGGCAAATTACTGGAACTTCCCGTATCAAAAATGAAATTAAAAAAATAAAATTAGAACTTTGAAAAATTTACTTTGCTAAAAAATAGAGAAATTTTTCGAGAAATTTCGAACTTTTTTTTCAAACCAATTGCGATACGTTAGCTGCGTAGAAACGAAATATCAAAGCGCGTAAGCGCAGCGCCGCAGTCTAACGAAAAAAGGGAAATACAGAATTGAAAATTTACATTTATTTAAATACATTCACATAAATTTGTTGTGATAAAAAATGCTTAAACAATTTTGATGTTCCAAAGAAATATTATTCTGCTGTGAATATAAAACATTATTTCAATGAAATATTTACATTAGTCGTTGATAACATTATTTATTCATTTTTATAAAATATACAAATTAATTCATATGTATTAATAATATCCATAAACAGCCATGCATTACTTTATGTAAAAAAACCCTTATTTCATATTTTATATTTTTAATTACTTTTTGGTGTGAACAACCATGTGCTTTTTCATGTCACCATGTTTACGGAATGTCTTATCACATACTTCACATTTGTATGGACGTTCCCCAGTGTGAATTAGCATATGTAGTTCCAATGTCTTCAAATGTCTGAATGTTTTATCACATATTTTACACTTTTGTGTATGTTCCTCACTGTGAATAAGCATATGTCTTTTCAAGTTCCTCGGATGTGCAAATGTCTTATCGCATGTTTTACATTTATAAGCACCCTTTTTTGTGTGAACCAGCATATGTGAATTCAAACTTTTTGATTGTGTGTATGTCTTATCACATTTTTTACATTTGTAAGGTCGTTCCCCAGTATGAGTGAGCATATGACCATTTAAGCTATTCAATACTCTGAATGTTTTATTGCATATTTTGCATTTATTGGATTGATCCACAGTATGACTGAGAATATGATATTTTAAGCTACTCGCATATGCAAATGCCTTGTCACATTTATCACATTTGTAAGGTCGTTCCCCAGTGTGAATGAGCATATGTTGATTCAAGTTACCGTTATGCACAAATGTCTTATCGCATATTTTGCATTTCCAGTGATGCTCTTCACTATGAACAAGCATGTGTGATTTTTAAGTGATTTGAAAGTCTAAATGTCTTACCACACACTTTGCATTTGTGGAGACGTTGCCCGGTGTGGATCAGCATATGCAATTTCAATGCACCGCGTTGTGTGTATGCCTTATCACATATTTTACATTTGTGGGGACGCTCTCCAGTATGCAACAGCATATGCACCTTCAAATGACCTGATTGAGTACAAATCTTATGGCATATTTTACATTTGTGGGTTTGTTCCTCACTGTGAATGAGCATGTGTGATTTTAAATGCTTGGAATTTTCAAGAGTCTTATCGCATAGATTGCATATATAAGGTCTCTCAGCAGCTTGAGCATGAATATTTTGTTGTTGTTTTCCTGCACAAGGACAAACGTGTCGATCTAACTTATATTTTGTGATAAATGCTGTGTCACACATTGTGCATAGGAAAGGTTTTCCATCCATATGAGTTTTCAGATGTATTTCTAATGTTTTTGCATCTGGAAAAGTCTTTGAACAATATGTACATTCAGGTTTATGTGCTTCCATATGCCTTTTCAAATTGTGTGGCTTTTTAAATGATCTATCACACTTATCACATTTATAAGGTAGATCCTGAATTAATTCCTGTTGTACTTCTTCTTCGAATTTTACTATAGAGTTCATGAACCTTTTCAAACATGTTTTATCATCATCTGAACATGATTCAGGCTCTTCTTTTATTTCCTGTTCAATATCTTCAATTGGAAGTTCTTGTGGTTCCATTTTAACTATAGATTCATCCGATTGTTCTGTGGCAGGAGCACAAACGTGTTGATCCAAATGATTTTTTGTAGTAAATGCTTCATCACACTTTGTACATACGAAATATCTTTCATCTTTATGATTCTTCAGATGTATTATTAATGTACTTGCATCTGGAAAAGTCTTTGAACAATCAATACACTTATGACTATGATTTACCATATGCTGTTGTAAATAATGCATCTTTCTAAATAATCTATCACCCTTGTCACATTTATAAGGAGGGGTCTGAATTAATTCCTGTTGGACATCTTGTTCTATCTTTACTATGGAGTTCATGAAATTCTTCAGACATGTTTTATCATCATCCGAATATGATTCAGACTCTACTTCTATTTCCCGTTGAAGTTCTGGTGGTTCAATTATGATTATCGGGTCATTGTCAGGGACTGTTGTGGCTTCTGACATTTTAAGATATTTGTGCACTGTGTGTATTCTATAAGTATTACAAAAGTAGTTAGTAACTATTTATTTAATATGAATTCAACTACATTTACAAATAAAAACATTAGTTGTTGACAGTTGAAGAGTGGAGTATGTTTTAGAAAGGCAATGATAAACGCATTTATCCTGTTGTAATATTTCACAGGGATGTATGCTTAAAGTCATAATCATTCAGGCTTCCTCTGTCAACACAAACGTGCAAATTTATTTTCTAATTAGAGGTAATCTTACATTAAGATAAATGTATTTATCCAAGATGACTCCTTCCTCAAAACTTTATATTTGACAGTAAATATGAATCTCAACGTATTCTTCAAAGTTTTTCATCTATTGCAGAGCTGAAATAAAATAAATGAAACTGTGTTTTAGATATTCTTCGCGTGCCTTTATTTAAAACTAAATATATTTTTTTCTGAACAAAATAATTATTATGATATGTCAACCACGTGGATTAACCTTACACTACCTTTATGTTTATCAATATGTCACAAATACATTTCGCGTAAATTATTATTTGTATTTAAATATAATTATTAATGCATTTAAACCATAACCAAACGTAATAATTAAATAAAAAAAATATGAAATGTTCGATCAAATCATTAAACAATTTGTTTGACAGTTAAACGAACTTTGTAACATGGCGGCAGTGTTGCCAAGTCCACCATAGAGAAAAACTGTAGAAAACTGTAGAGTAGATATCAATGTAAACTAGTGACGTGCATCATATATAAACTATAAATTCAAATAATAGAATATATCATAGATAAGTAAGTTTATATAAAAATGGAGCTCTCGATCAAATGATTCGGTAAAACTCGAAAACGGCTAAACCGATTTGGCCAGTTTTAGTCTTGAAAAATTCGTTTTTTTGTAGTTTTATTTATATACAAAAACGTTAGTAAACGGGCCGCAAGTGTTACGAGAAACTCAAAATATCAACTTTTTTGAAATGTTAATATGAAAATGCACTTTTTGGCATATTTTTCTCAAACACGGTGCCTTGAAAGATCTCATTTGTATAATTGTATACTCATTAGTATTTATAAAACATTTTCTAGGTTATATTAATATAACCTAGAAAATGTGTTATAAATACTAATGAGTATATAATTTAGGTATAATGAGTATAGATTTAGGTTCTGAATTTAAATAACATAAATAAAAATTAATTAATTTTTATTTATGTTATTTAAATTCAGAACCTAAATCTGGGATCGATCAAAGGGACATTTTGTCGAATAACATTTTCCCATTTATAATTTCCCAGAAATTATCGAAGAATAGATAGTAATATATTAAGGTCCGGGGTTAAAAAAGTCTACCACCTAATGTGTCAAAACGCAGTATAGTTAAGCATTATTTAACAACAATATTTGAAAGTAGAGGGAAAAAGATGTATAACCAGCTATAACCTTGATTCTTATAACTTTGCTATCGGGATTTAAACGGTAATATTTGAAAATCCATAATAAAAGTATTTTCTTCCGTTGGTAGTTTTTTAGCATTAGTTAAAAATGTAAATATTTTGAAAAATACCTTTAAAATTAAAATAGGACATTAAACCTGTTTGCCACCTGGCCGTTCCAAGTTACTCCGCCTTTGGACTAAAAAGGTTTACATAACAAATTTTTGAAAGACATAAAAAAGTACATTTCTACAATGATGAAGTAGCTGGCAGTTTTACTGAACGTAGTCAGATAAAAAGCAGGACAAAGAATAATTCATTTTCTATCTCTCCTCGCAGAAATTTGAAATTTTTGTATAAACTCAGTGGTATTATTTACAATTATACTCAAAATACAGAATCCAAAAATAATCTCAAAAACTTGAAACGTAATCAATAAATAAGTCGAAAGACCAAAAAAGACTTGGTTTGGATTAGGTATACCATGTTTTCTATAGAAAGTGTATAAAACTTCCAGTTTGATTGTATTGACAAAATATAGACAGCCTTTGATAAAAACTAATCAGCACATCTCCCTATCAACAGGAATCAAATGTTTTTTGAACCATTCAAATCGGTTCATCCACGCGCCCGAATACGTGCAGTTTTGCCGTTTTTTATATACCCATGATATTTTTATCAAGGTTTTTCCGTTTTTATTTTTTTAAATTTTCAAAGATATCTATCCATGGATTTTTCAACAAAGTTTTTACCGTTTTTAATATAACAACTGTTAATAGTAATTACATTAATACGAACGAGTTTAGGCGCTTAAATCCTGCCGAATATTCGGTATTCAGTCTCTGGAGCATGCCGAATATTCGGTATTCGACATTATGCAGAATACACTATTCATTGCAGGCCTAATTTAAATCCAAATCATTTATATTGTTTTGCCTTCTCCAAAAACTAATCATTACTTCACACTGTCAATAGACGCAAAATGTTTGTTGAATAATTCTAATCGGATACTCCGTTTTCTCCAAAATTGCTATTTTTTACTTAGTATCACTGAATCGACTGCAGCTTCCTTTTTCAAAAACTAATCACCCTATTAATAGGAGTCGAATGTGCAAAGATATGCAAAAATTTTCATTTTCGACTTTTTTGCGGTTACTATAACTTACCATACGAAAAGTTAATAAAAAATGAGAATTTCAAAATTTAAATTTTTACATTTAATTTAAATACATTCACATAAATTTGTTAAGATGAAAAATGTTTAACCAATTTGATCTTTTGATTTTTAAAATAACTATTATACCTACAGTGAATATAAAATACTATTGCGTTGAAATATTTTAGATTAGTCATTGATAACATAGTTTATTCATATTTATAAAATATACAAATTAATTCATATGTATTAACAATATGTATAAACAGCCATGTTTTACTTTATGCAAAACCCTTATTTCATATTTCATATTTTTAATTACTCTTTGGTATGAATCATCATGTGTTTTTTCAAAAAACGAGATTGTCTGAATTTTTTATCACACACTTTACATTTATGGGGTTTTTCCCCAGTGTGTCTTAGCATGTGATTTCTCAAAGTATTTGAGTGTCTGAATGCCTTATCACATATTTCACATTTGTGTGGGAGTTCCCCAGTGTGAATGAGCATATGTAGTTTCAAGCTCCTCAACTGTCTGAATGTCTTATCACATATTTTACACTTTTGTGAACGTTCCTCAGTGTGAATAAGCAGGTGATCTTTAAGGTTGTTCGGATATTTGAAGGTCTTATCACATATTTCACATTTTAGTGGACGTTCATCACTGTGAAAAGGCATGTGTCTCTTCAAGTTCCTCGGATGTGTGAATGTCTTATCACATGTTTTACATTTATAAGCACCCTTTTCTGCGTGAACATGCATATGTGATCTCAAACTCTTTGGCTGTGAGTATGCCTTATCACATTTGTTACATTTGTAGGGTAGTTCCCCACTGTGAAGGAGCATATGATTATTTAAGGTACTCAATAATGAGAATGTTTTATTGCATACTTTACATTTATTTGGACGATCACCAGTATGAATGGGAATATGATCCCTTAAGCTACTGTAATATGCAAAAGCCTTATCACATTTTTCACATTTGTAAGGACGTTCCCCAGTGTGAATAAGCATATGTTGATTGAAGGAATTCTTGTGTTTAAATGTCTTATTGCATATGATGCATTTCCAAGGACACTCCTCACTATGAACGAGCATGTGAGATTTTAAGTGACTTGTAATTCTAAATGTCTTATCACACACTTCACATTTGTGGAGACGTTCCCCAGTGTGAATCAACATATGCACTTTCAATGCACCGCGTTGTGTGTATGCCTTATCGCATATTTTACATTTGTGGGGACGCTCTCCAGTATGCAACAGCATATGCACCTTCAAATGACCTGATTGAGTACAAATCTTATGGCATATTTTACATTTGTGGGTTTGTTCCTCACTGTGAATGAGCATGTGTGATTTTAAATGCTTGGAATTTTCAAGAGTCTTATCGCATAGATTGCATATATAAGGTCTCTCAGCAGCTTGAGCATGAATATTTTGTTGTTGTTTTCCTGCACAAGGACAAACGTGTCGATCTAACTTATATTTTGTGATAAATGCTGTGTCACACATTGTGCATAGGAAAGGTTTTCCATCCATATGAGTTTTCAGATGTATTTCTAATGTTTTTGCATCTGGAAAAGTCTTTGAACAATATGTACATTCAGGTTTATGTGCTTCCATATGCCTTTTCAAATTGTGTGGCTTTTTAAATGATCTATCACACTTATCACATTTATAAGGTAGATCCTGAATTAATTCCTGTTGGGGTTCTTCTTCAAATTTTACTATAGAGTTCATGAACCTTTTCAAACATGTTTTATCATCATCTGAACACGATTCAGGCTCTTCTTCTATTTCCTGTTGAATATCTTTACATGGAAATTCCTGAGGTTCAATTTTAACTATAGATTTATCCGATTGTTCTGTGGCAAGAGCACAAACGTGTTGATCCAAATGATTTTTTGTAGTAAATGCTTCATCACACTTTGTACATACAAAATGTCTTTCATCCTCATGATTCTTCAGATGTATTATTAATGTACTTGCATCTGGAAAAGTCTCAGAACAATCAATACACTTATGACTATGATTTACCATATGCTGTTGTAAATAATGCCTCTTTCTAAACGATCTATCACACTTGTCGCATTTATAAGAAGAAGTCTGAATTAATTCCTGTTGGACTTCTTCTTCTATCTTTACTATGGAATTCATGAACCTCTTTAGACATGTTTTATCATCATCTGAACACGATTCAGGCTCTTCTTCTATTTCCTGTTGAATATCTTCACATGGAAATTCCTGAGGTTCAATTTTAACTATAGATTCATCCGATTGTTCTGTGGCAGGAGCACAAACGTGTTGATCCAAATGATTTTTTGTAGTAAATGCTTCATCACACTTTGTACATACAAAATGTCTTTCATCCTCATGATTCTTCAGGTGTATTATTAATGTACTTGCATCTGGAAAAGTCTTTGAACAATCAGTACACTTATAACTATGATTTACCATATGCTGTTGTAAATAATGCATCTTTCTAAATGATCCATCACACTTATAAGGAGGAGTCTGAATTAATTCCTGATGAACTTGTTCTTCTAACTTTACTATCTTTACTATCGGATTCATAAATCTCTTCAGACAAGTTTTATCATCTTCTAAACTCGATTCAGACTCTTCCTCTATTTCCTGCTGAAGTTCTGGTGGTTCAATTTTAATTATCGGGTCATTGTCAGGGACTGTTGTGGCTTCTGACATTTTAAGATATTTGCACTGCATCTATTCTATAAGAATTACAAAAGTAGTTAGTAACTATTTAACAATCTTTTGATAAATTTATTAATTCATTTAACTAGATTTACAAATGAAAGCATTAGTTGTTGACAGTGGAAGCATGGAGTATGTTTTAGAAAGGCAATGATAAATGCATTTATCCTGTTAAAGTAAATATATTAAGATCTCAATCACGTGGACTAACCTTACAATTATTTTTATGTTTATCAATATATTACAAACACTGCACGTGTACACTATTAATTGTATTTATAAATGATTATATAATAAAATTATTAATGCATTTAAACATAACTACACGTAATAATTAATTAAATAAAATATAAAATGTTCGATCAAATCATTAAAATTAAACAATTTGTTTGACAGTTAAACGTACTTTGTAAACATGGCGGCGCTCTAATGTCACCGTCGCCAACACAAGATATTTCTTCATTTTAAAAATAAATTTCATTAGTAAATAACATTAATAAAAATTGATTAAATTCTCAATAATAATAACTCTTCTTTTATCTACTCATTCGAATTTTTTCTTAAAGAACTTTAATTTACAATAACGACAACATAAATTTAATATAATTTATCTTATGTTGAACAACGTGTTATTTGACATTTCTGTTTTATCTGCCAACTTCGTGTATATGCAAACTAAAACAAAACTTAAGTAAACTTTAAATAAAGAAAGTTATATATTTAAATTGATATTTAATTATACATAAATATATATGAATTATAAATAATAAAAATAATAATAACAATAATAATTTAGGTATTAACAAAACGAAACTGTTATTTATATAAGTTTGATGACATGTTATCGATTTTGTTCTGAAACAAGGTTATGTTGTGTAAAATGTGAATTTATTTACAAAAATCTGAAAATAGTATTTGAGGTAAGTAACTTATATACAAACTAATTAAATGTTCATGCATCAATATCTTTTTATTGTTATAAATGTATTCATTACTATTTTGCATCCCCAGTCTGAGCTTTATCATGTTCTCAATCCATGAGCATTTGAAGAAAAAAAGAGCCCCCATAGACAAATGGTCAATAAAAGAGCAGTTATGTTTAGCATCTGCAGTTGTTCGAAGCGGAGACCAAAATTGGACTTCAGTAAGCCGAGCTTTAAAAGCTTTTCAAGATCCCAATAGGCCGGCCGATTGGTTTTCACAGAAAAACTGTGCTGCTCAATATGGATTGTTATTGGATAATGTTGATACTCCCAAGAGAAAGAAAAGAGCAACAGGTGGGTTAAAATTTGTGGTAAAAATCTAAGTTATTGTTAAATATCTTGTCGCTTTAGATAAATTTGCAAATAGTCCTGAGGTGGTTCCTGAAACCGAGTCTTCTCTTGAGTTGATAAAAAAGAAATTAACAGAAGAACGAATACAAGAACTGAATTTAAAATTGCAACAAACCAGAAAAGAATACCAAAAAATAGCTTACGATACAAAATTAATCAAATCTGGCAAAGCCTCTGCAGACAAAATCAATCAAGTATATAATTCAATCCTGGAAAGGAAGAAAATAGAAGACAAGAAAAATCTTGAGCATGCAAAATGGTTGCAAGAACGAGAGGAGAAAAAACTGGAAATGGAAAGACAGTTGAGGCCTGGTTTGAAATTATCCACAGGCGGTATTACTTCACCGACACAAATGAAAGTTAAAGATGAATTAACAGATATAAAGGATGAGTCTGTGACTCCTGAAGCATCTAAGCCCACAACTTCACCTTTGTTGACTAGCTTGCTGAAATCACCATCACCTGCACCGAATCCCAGTTTACTGCATTCTTCTTTAGCTGGAAGAGGTAATAAAAATAATACAGTAATATCCCGTTTAACATGGGGGATACATTTCATAAAAATAGAGCGCAATAAACAAAGCTACTCAGAAAATTGGCGTTAGGGAAAGACGGCTAGGAAATTTTTTGGGTAACTAGCATTGTGCTTTAAAGAAAATTGCTGGAACTTTAATTAAACATTCAAGAAATGTAAATAATCAATAATTGTTTTGAATAATTGCAAATAGATTATTTATTATAAATACATACTGTATGCTTATAAGTGCTTTTTAAATTAGGCTAGGAGCGTATTTAAAAATTTTTTCTTTAATTTTTTGAGAATATGGAAATTTTTGAAAATATTCGATTTTTTTGAAAATTTCGAAATATTTTCAAATTTTTGTAAAAAATGTTTTTTTTTTAATTTTGAAATTGTTTAAAATTTAGTTTTTTTGAAACTTAGTATTTTTTGAAAATTATCATACAAATCGGTTATTCCATACTGTTGAAAATGTCGAGGACATTTTTTGAGCTATATACGTAAATTTTAAAATTAAAAATCTTGGTACGGAACCCAAAAAAATTTACAAAAAATGTGTACACATTATTAAAATCTCTATGAAATATCTGATAATTTGATGTGCATATGTCTAATGATCATTTTTGACCTCCAAAAGGCATTTTTTTAACTTATTTTTATTGAGAGTCCATAACCGCTGGACCTGCCTTCTCAAAAATTTAATCAGTTCTTCATCTTGTCAATACAAGTAAAATGTTTTTTGAATTATTAAAATCGGACGCGCCGTTCTCTTAAAAACTGAGTTACCGTTTTTGGCACTTTTTGCCCCGTATCTTCGGAACGGCTAGACCTGCCTTCGTCAAAAACTAATCAGCACATTTCCTTATCAATGCGAATCGAATGTTTTTTGAAGTATTCAAATCTGTTGATCGGTACTCCGGAAATCGTCGACGCAAATTTGTATCCGCACACACACACACACATACACATACACACACACATACACACACACACATACATCCATTTATTCTAAGGTATGCCAAAATGTTCAGAAGGTTTTGAAACGTAAAGATATTTAAAAATTTTCATTTTCAATTTTTTTGCGATTATTATAACTTACTCTAAGGGAACTTAATAAAAGAGCGCTGAACCAAAACAGTGTTAAGCGGGATATTACTGTATTACTTATTTATATCAGTCGCAGCAGATTTTATATAATATTACTTTTTTTTCAGTATCCAGTTTAGCAAAGAGTAATTTATTATCAGGTTTATCTCAAGACGGCGATCAGAATAGTCAAAGGACACTTCCACAACATGGAAATCTACCTTCTTTGCTCGATAACAAAAGTAGTATTGGTAAACAAGCCACTGTCCCAGATTTTAAGGCAAACATTGCAAATATTGATGAAAATGCTGTCTTGGCAGAAATAGGTAGGATTGGTAAACTTGATTATGCATTTATTGACCTTCCATATGAGAAGTATATGTTTAGCTACTTTTATGCTCTCCCGTAAGTTTCAAGTCCTTTTGAATCGTTTGCCATCAATTACAAAAAGCACATAATTAAAGAAGTTAACCCTTTCCACTCGCTCGGCGGCATCCGAGTCGAAAGGGTTAAGAACTGACAATATTCGATTTTTTTGAAAATTTCGAAATATTCTCAAACTTTTGTAAAAAATGTTTTTTTTTAATTTCGATCTCTTTTGAAATTGTTTAAAATTTAGTTTTTTTGAAACTTTGAATTATTTGAAAATTTGGATTTTTTTGAAAATTTTGATTTTTTTTTAATTTTCAAAATTTCGAAATTTTCTCTAAAAGCATTTTTTACACACCGTTTACTCAAGCAAAATGCTTTTTTAATTAATCTAATCGGATGATCCGTTCTCTCAAAAACTGCATAACCGTTTTTACACCCTCTACGCTCCATACCTCCAAAACGGCAAAATTGCTTTTTGCAAAAACGACTCGCGATCTATAAAGACGACTCCCGTTGATATTTTTGCGCCACAATCGGTCGAGCCGTTTCTTTTTAATTAGCATATATGATATCAATAATATTAAGATTTGTAATACTAACAATAATAAAAACAGATAGAGATCAAATAAACTTGTCATTAATAGTATTAATGATGGCAATTAGAAAAAAAAACTAGTTGTGTTTGGCATCGTGTCTTAAGGCAAATTGCTGGAACTTCCCGTACCGTAACAAAATGCTCGAGGCATATTAAAAGTTTTTAAAGATAGAATTATTAAGAATTATATAAACTGAATTGCAGATTTAAAATTTATTTATTTAAAGTATATAAGTGACCTTTAGAACTTTAGCCAGAATTAAAATTAAAATCTGAATTATTTTTGAAATACAAAATTTTTGGAAAACAAAATTAAATTTTTAAAAAATTATAATTTGAAATAACACAAGCAGAAAGTTTTTTGAATCGTTCAAATCGCATGCTTAGTTCTCTCAAAAACTGCCACATTCAGCTCCGTATCTTCCAAATGGCTGGACCTGCCTTTGCCAAAAACTAATCAGCACTTCTCCCAATCATTACGAATTGAATGTTTTTTCGATCATTCAAATCGGATTCACCGTTCTCTCAAAAACTCGATGTCTGTTTTCTGCACTCTTGGCTCCATAACTCCAAAACGGTTGGACCGACTTTTGCCAAAAACTAATCAGCACATCTTTCTATCAATAAGAATAGAATGTTTTTTGAACCACTCAAATCGATTGCGGACACAAAATACACACACATTCATTTTTTCTGAGGTATGCCAAAATGTTCAGAAACTTCTGAAACGTAAAGATATGCGAAAAAAAATGTTTTTTATTTTCGATTTCTGGCTCATTTAACTGCGGAATTTAAAAATTACTCTTTTATTCTATTTATAAAGAAACGGCTCGGCTGAACGTCGCACATTTCAATGCTGATCGTTATTTACATTTACATCGACAGGGTTTTAAATTTGTGAAATCGGTCCAGCAGTTTTTGAGGAAACGTAGACGAAATGTAATAAAATCTGCCACATACACACACATAATCTATGATCATAAAATAATCTATGATTACTAAAGTTAATAATAATATCAATATAAAATTGGTACTGATACTTGATTTTTGAGAAAAACATTGAGTAATGTTCAAATTTTAGTTTATATCATCTATTTTTTCCAATTTTCATGTCAAACGATTCTGAACGACTTGAAGCGTCTAGTCAACATATAATTAGCAAATGGGATTTTTTGTCAAAAAGATTGAGGTGAAAAAGGCAATTTTTTCAAAAATGTTGAGCTGATTTATCATTCTATTTTTGTATTTATTAACAATTCATTATTTTATCAATTGTCTATTCTATTTCAGTTCCCAAACCCAAACCTCCAGAAGCCTCAACATCCACCAGCTCCATTCCCGACGACATTTTGAATCTCAACCTAGTTCCATTCGCGTCCAATAAAGAAAACAAAGAGATTTTCGATGATCTTTCAATTGACGAAAAGCTAGCAGTGGTTGACAATATCATTCGCAAAGAACAAGAAGAAGAATTGGCCACACAGTTGAATCAGGCCACCACTGCTTTAGGAGACATGGGAGACAGTAACAGTTCCGAAATGGGAACCGAAAACTCCGAGTCTGACCAACTGGAAAGTCGAGTTGAAGACATCATACAAAGTATATCTAATGATGATAATTTATTGGATCCTAATGAAGATGAGACCAAGCAGAGCATGACTAGTGGTGAAGACACGAAGCCCGAGTTCAGTGAAGACACAGTTGTCGAGAGCAAGTCATCAAGGGAGAACGAGTCCGCACCAGGTTCTGTAGAAGTTGTGGAAGTGGAGCTGATGGAAGATGAAGAAGAAGATGGTAAACGCGTTTCTGAGGACAAAAAGAACCTTGAAATGAGTCAGATGGTCTCGGACTTGCGTAAGGAATGCGGTCTGGACAAGTCTATAGATGAACGTGATCAGGATGCGGATAAAGAAGACACTGGTGATGCTAGTGATGCTGTCACAGCAAAAGTTGAGGAGTCAGAAGTCGATAGCGAAGCAAGTCCGGTCAATATGGAAGATGACTCTAAGTCTTTGCCAACTGACGACGCAATGCTAACTCCTGATGATGATAAATTAAACATTAAAATTGAACCAGAGCCTAAAATCGTGCTGGAAAAACTTGATAGTACAGTGGTCCAAACCATTGAACCAAAATCAGAGTCATCTGAGGATTCCAAAATGGAAGAAAGTGTCACCAGTCAACTGGATACAATGGAGGACGACGATTCGCCAATCGAAGTAATTAAAGAAGACAAGCATGGTAAAATGAAACGCGACTACTCTCGTAAACGAGTTGATGATAAACCTAAATTAGATGATGACGATTTTGACCTGCTAGGTAAAAAGTCTGATATAATGAAATATAAGTCTGACAGACGTTCTGAAAGTCCATGGGCTGACGATGATGACAATGTGTTGTTACAATCCAGAACGCGCAGGCAGTATTCTATATCCATAGACTCACCAAACAGTCCTGCTTCAACAATAACTGAAGAAGAGAAAGACTACAGGACTTGGAAAAAATCAATATTCTTAGTTTTCAACAGACTTTGCACACACAGGAACTCTTCCTTATTTGCTAAACCGATTACTAATGAACAAGCACCAGGTTATCATGCTATGGTGAAGCGCCCAATGGATTTATCAACTATTAAGAAGAATCTGGACAATGGTACGTTACGCAGTACTGCAGAATTCCAAAGAGACGTTATGCTGATGTTCCAAAATGCTATAATGTACAATAAGGTTGGATCAACTGTGTACAACATGGCAAAGGAGATGCAGAAGGAAGGTTTGGAACAACTGCAATTATTGGTGCAGGCGCAACAGCAAGATTTTCCAATGAAACGAGAGACTAGAACGAGTGAACCTGCCTCGAAAAGAAAAAGGGGGATGGATAAATGATTTTGTTTTGGAAATTTTGTGATAAAATTTTATAATAAATATAGATTTGTAATGAATTTGTTGTTGTTTTTACTTGATTGACAAAAATGGAATGATGTCGAACCAAGACACTGTACCATTTACTAACTTTTTCATTAATTTTTTTTAGTCCGATGATATTGCTCTATTAGCGAAACGAATCGACACACAAGTCTCGACAATGCGTAGGGCTTACAGGGAACAATTGGATTTGATTGAGAATGCTATTCAAACTGAAAGAATAGCCCTGAGGGAGACTCAGGCAAAGGAATGGGACTCCTTGTACAAAGAGAGGAATAAGGACGAATTGAATTGTCTGGACGAAAAGTTTGATCAGGTAATTAGATTTATATTATTTTGTATGTGCTGATAAAAGATTTGTGTTTATTTATCTATCACGTTATTGAAGTCAAACTTCTATTGCAATTTTCAACCAGTTTGTGTCAAAAAAAACAGAGTAATAGTGAATGCTGTAATTCCAATTTCAGCACGATGTTTGAAAATGCTGCAAGTTGTTTTGGAATGTTGTTGATTGTTTTTGAATGTTGTAAGTTGTCTGAAAATGTTGTGTCATAAAATGTTTTTTGCAAATGTGATAAATTTGTCTGCAAAAGTTGTAAATTGTCTGAAAATATTGTAGATTATTTTAGAATGTTGTAGATTGTCTGAAAATGTTGTAAGTTATCTGAAAATGTTGTAAGTTGTCTGAAAATGTTGTAAGTTGTCTGAAAATATTATAAATTGTTTGTAAATTTTGTAATTTATCTGAAAATATTATAAATTGTCTGAAAATGTAGATTATTTAAAAATTTTGTAAGTTGTTTGAAAAAATGGTAAAATGTCTGAAAGTTCAGATTGTTTGAAAATGTTGCAGAAAGTCTGGACATATTGCAAGTTGTCTGAAAATGTTGTAGATTATTTTAGAATGTCTGAAAATTTGTAAGTTGCCTGAAAAAATTATAAAATTCTGAAAATGCAGATTGTTAGAAAATGTTGCAGATTGTCTGGAAATGTTGCAAATTGTCTGAACATGTTGTAGATTATTTTAGAATGTTGCAGATAGTATAAAAATATTATAAGTTGTCTGAAACTATTATAAATAGTCTGAAAATGGTGTAAGTTGTATGAAAGAATTATAAAATGTCTGAAAATGTAAATTATTTGAAAATGTTGCAGATTGTCTGGAAAAATTGCAAGTTGACTGAAAATGTTGTAGATTATTTAAGAATGTTGTAGATTGTCTTAAAATGTTGTAAGTTGTCTGAAAATATTGTTAATGGTCTGAAAATGTTGTAAGTTGTCTGAAAAAATTATATAATGTTTGAAAATGTAGATTATTTGACAATGCTGCAGATTGTCTGGAAATGTTGCAAGTTGTCTGAAAATGTTGTAGATTATTTAAGAATGTTGTAGATTGTCTTAAAATGTTGTAAGTTGTCTGAAAATATTGTTAATGGTCTGAAAATGTTGTAAGTTGTCTGAAAAAATTATATAATGTTTGAAAATGTAGATTATTTGACAATGCTGCAGATTGTCTGGAAATGTTGCAAGTTGTCTGAAAATGTTGTAGACTATTTAGAATGTTGCAGATTGTCTGAAAATGTTGTAAGTTGTCTGAAAATATTATAAATTCTTTGAAAATGTTGTAAGTTGTCTGCAAATATTATAAATTGTTCGAAAGTTTGTCTGAAAATGCAGATTGTTTCAAAATGTTGCAGATTGTCTGGAAATTTTGCCAGTTGCCTGAAAATCTTGTAGATTATTTTAGAATTATTTGAAATTGTTGGACATTGACCGAAAATGTTGAAAGTTATTTTGGAATGTTGTAGATTGTTTCGGAATGTTGTAAGTTGTCTGAAAATATTATAAATTTATTGCAAGTGTTGTAAGTTGTCTGGAAATATTATAAAATGTCTGAAAATGTAGATTGTTTGAAAATGTTGCAGTTTGTCTGAAAAAAAAAGAAATTTGTTTGAAAATGTTGTAAGTTTCTGAAAATATTATAAACTGTCTGAAAATGAAGATTATTTGAAAATGTCGCAGATTGTCTGGAAAGGTTGCAAGTTGTCTTAAAATATCATAAATTGTCTGAAAATGTACATTATTTGAAAACGTTGCAGAAAAGGTTGCAAGTTGTCTGAAAATATATTGTAAATTATGTGCAATTGTTGTAGAATGTATGAAAATGTTGTAAATTGTCTGAAAATGTTGTAAGTTGTCTGAAAATATTATAAATTGTCTGAAAATGTAACTTATTTGAAAATGTTGTAGATTATATGTAGATATATTTATATGTAGATAGTCTGGAAATGTTGCATTTTGTCCAAAAATGTTGTAGATTATTTAAAAATGTTTCAAGTTGTAAATTATGTCAAAATATTGTAGAATTTATGAAAATGTTGTATACTGTCTAGAAAAGTTGTAAATTTCTGCATTACGAAGTTTCACTTCAACCACGATGGTTTTCCACGCACTTTTATATTTTTTTTTTTTTTAATTTTAGATCCATCAATTTGAGAAAGACATGAAACAAGTTATTCTCGACCACCAAGAACAATACAGAGCTACAAAGATACAACTGGAAAATGACATCAAATTGCTGCAAGAAGAATTTGAAATGACAAAAGTTACTTGCTTAATGAATTCTGAAAAACTGGATTATAATTATCAGGTATGATAATAAAACAGTATCAATATGGCTTTGTATATAATGAAATGGTTTTCCATTACCATTTTTAACCCTTTCCACTCGGATGCCGCCGCTCTGGCGGCAAAATACATACTAATTGTGGAATTAGCGAGTGGAAAGGGTTAATGTTTGCATCATAATTTACATGCGAGTATGTAAATCTATTTTTTATATCTGATTTTTATTTAGGTGTTGAAAAAACGTGAAGACGAGAACAAAATTGTGAGATCTCAACAGAAACGAAGACTCAATAAACTTCAAGATGTCATCAACGCCATAAAGGCTAAATATCAAGCAGCCAAAAAAGTATCCGAGCAAGAAATTAAAAAAATTACAGATGAAGTGATTCATTTGCATGATAATATTGTTGATATTGAAACAAAAGCTGATATATTTCTGAGAAATAATGAGAAGACTTACCAACAGGTAAATATAGAGAAGAATATAGTATTTAATATTATTATTTTTATTTCTAATTATACAATTTTCAGATATAATAATAAATGGTAGTCTGCCGAAGGCAGGTCCTTGATGTGAGAGCCACCACAAATAAATGATTTCCTTACCCTCGTTGTCTATCATTTCCATCACCACTATTTTCCCCCCATTTTTTACACTTTTTTTATGTATTTTCCTTTCTAAAACTCTGCTGCCATGCTTCCTGGTCCTGCACTTTGGCTTTCAGTTTCCTGTATTTTCTCTTCTCGCGTAAGTCGTCAATCGTCTGCATTCTTCCTCTTCCCATTCCTTTCAGTTCTCCTATTTTACCCTAGTCGTGCAGGAGGCACTTTCTTACATAACAGGTCCAATCCAGTTTCCTTTTCTTTTCAGATTTGTGCTCAGTGGAGTCCTTTTGTTGCTTCCATATATTTATAATTATTATCTTTCTCTAGTTGTGGTCCATGAATCGTGCCCAAACAATAGAACTTCTAGACCAGATCCTCCAAATTGACAAGACTTTATACGAGCAGCAATTAGGTCTCGAGTGGAGCCCACCTGAGAAGAGTGTTTTGTACAAAAAGGACCTGCCTTCATATGTGGATGCGCTTAAAAAAGTCTCAAAACATGATGAAAGTAAACACGGAGCTGAGGGTGCTAGTAAAAAGGATTCTACGAATAGTATCAACCAATCAGGTGGGTAAAATAGATTAATAAATGACTAACACAAATAATAAATGATTACTCACTTACATAAATAATAAATGATTTCTTTACCTTTTGTCATCTATTATCCCCTCTTTTATTTAACTTTTATGTATCTTTCTTTCTAATGCTTCCCGATCTTGCGCTTCGGCTTTCAGTTACCTGTTTCTCGCGTTAATTGTCAATCATCTGCCTTCTTCTTCTTCCCAGTCCTTTTACTTAACCCTCGATGACGTAGGCACTATTTTTGCAGAAGGGGTTCGGTCCAAGTACCTTTTCTTTTCAGGATTGTGCTTACTATAGAGTCCATTCTTTCACCTCCAGCACCACATTTCAAAACTCGCCAGATAGTCCTTATCGGTTTTTGTTAGAGTTCATGTCTCTGATCTGTACAGAGCTATGGTCATAGTACTTTACAGTCTCTTCCGCAAGTAGAGACTTAGTTTGCTCGTCAGTTAGTTCTCTTATTGTTCGTGAACGCCGCCTTGGCACTTGCGATCCTTGTCCTGATCTCTCTCATGCAGTATCCGTCTCTAGTCAGAATGCTTCCTAAATATTTGAGATGATCCACGTCTTCCAATACTCGATTTTCTACTGTTATATCTTCAGAGTATCATCTCGTTTTGATACTCTCATCACTTTCGATTTGTCGACGTTGATCTCCATTCCTTTGACTATTCTGCTCATCATGTTTTATTTCTCGGTTTGGTTTTTTTGTATCACCACTAGATCGTCAGCGTCCTCATTGTGGTGAGTTTTCTTCCTCAAATTGAAAAATCACTAGTGACTTCAGGTGCCTCATTGCCGAGCCAATATTTCAACACAGTTTGTGTCTCCCTGGTTTATTCAAACCTTTCCTTTCTGTTCCATACAGATCCATACAGGGTGATCCATACAGATTCTGGATCAGCCTGCGATCTCTGCGAGACATCTGTCTGACAATAGCAATATTCCAATATTCTTCTCAATATTCCAATAGCATCTCTGGTGCTTCTACCTTTTCTGAAACCAAACTGGTCTTTGCTCATGTGCTGGTCGATCTTAATTTCGAGTCGTCTCATGAGGATTTTGTCCAGTTCCTTTCCTATGAAATAAAACTGATCGTTCAGTACTCACCTTTAATATCTTTCGAACGGTTTTAAAATTTTTAAAATTGGTTCAGGATTATTGCCTAAAACATTGACGAAATATTTTTCACTTTTCTGATAACTGAAACTTGGGTCTTCATCTAGTCTCATCAAATCAGCTTTAAATTTTTTTAAAATCGGTCTGAGGAAACGCCGACGAAAGATCGAATTTTATCACATAGATACGTACTTTTTTCAAATTTGCGAGTACTTTTTTCGAAATTGGTGAGTCAGATTTTCTGGCAAAAACAAATTTCTCGAACTCTTTTCAAACGGTTTTTAAATTAGTAACTTTAATTAAGTTTCTCTTCTATATAATTTAAAATTCTTATTCTAGTAGTCAATCAATGGTTTCTCACACACCATGGGCTTGCCTTCGGGCAGATTTCCATTTATTCCAGTAGGGCAAGTGATAGTGGCACAAGCAGGTCTAGCTGTTTCGAAGATACGGGGCAAAAAGTCCCAAAAACGGTAACTCAGTTTTTAAGAGAACGGAGTAATTTAAAAGACATTTTACTTGACAAGATGATGAACTGATTAAATTTTTGGGAATGCAGGTCTAGCGGTTTTGGAGATCTAGTAAAAAAAGTTTAAAAAAAACGCCATTTTGAGGTTAAAAATGATCACTAGACATATGCACATCAAATTATCAGATATTTTATGGAGATTTTAATAATTTCGTAACATTGTTTGTTCATGCAGCTAAAACAGTGCGATTGTTTTGAAAACTAGTGGGGTGGGTGGCATCGTGCCTTAAGGCAAATTGCTGGAACTTCCCGTACCGTAACGAAATGTTCGAGGAATACTGAATGTTTTCAAATAGATTCTTATAAATATTGTAACATTGTCTAATATTTATAAGAATTATATAAACTGAATTGCAAAGTTGAAATTATTTGTAAAGTATATTAGAACTATAATCAGAATTAAAAATCAAATCTGAATTATTTTCGATATACAAAAATTAAAAAACTAGCTGTAAGTGGAATTATGTCTTGAGGCAATTATGGCATCGTACTTTGTTTAATTATATTGTTAAATTTTATTATATTTAATTACAAATATTAAACATTGTCTAATATTTATAAGAATTATATAAACTGAATTGCAGAGTTGAAATTATTTGTAAAGTATATTAGAATTATAGTCAGAATTAAAAATAAAGTCTGAAATATTTTCGATATACAAAAAACTAAAAAAAAAAAATAAAAAAAAAAATAAAAATAAAAGAACAAAATCAAATATTTTGTTAAGACAAGCAGAAAGCTCTTTGAATCATTTAAATCGGACGCTTAGTTCTCTCAAAAACTGCGATTTTTTACATATTTAGCTCCGTATCTTCGAAATAGCTGGGCATGCCTTTGCCAAAAACTAATAAACACTTCTCCCAATCATTACTAATTGAATGTTTTTTAGATCATTCAAATCCGATACTCCGTTCTCTCAAAAATTCGATTTCTATTTTCTGCACTCTTTGCTCCGTATCTCCGAAAAGCCTGCACCTGCCTTTGCGAAAAACTAATCAGCTCTTTTCCCTATCAATAGGAATCGAATGTTTTTTGAAAAATTCAAATCGGTTGATCTGTGCGCCCCTAAAACGTGACTGGAAATTTATATCCATACATACATACACACACACACACACACACATCCATTTTTCTGAAGTATGCCAAAACGTTCAGAAACCTTCAAAACGTCGAGAAATGTAAAAATTTTCAATTCCGATTTTCGGCCCATTACAATTACTTACCCTACGGGAAGTTAAAAAGTTCAAAATTTGCAAAATATTTTGAACTAAATGAAAAACATTTTTTTTCAAAAAAGTCAATTTTTGTCAAAAATTTAAAATTTTTCAAAAATCAAATTTTTTAAAAAGTTTAAAACATATTTAATCATTTTTTAAAAAAATGATTTTTGCTACGGGAAGTTCCAGCAATTTGCCTTAAGGTACGATGCCATACACGACTAGTTATTACATTACCGTTATTTAAAAGGTTTACTAGCCCTTGTCCAGTACTGTTAAGGTGCGCCACACCTAACGAACATGATGAATAAAGGTGCTCCACACCTAACGAACGAACATAATTGAATGTACCAGAACGAACGGCAACAGCATAGTATGGCGCCACAACGATCACGAACGAACATAAACAAACACGGCGAGCAATGTTCCGCAACTTGTCGGTACATCAAAGGGAATTGTTCGTTCATGTTTGAACTCGTATGTGCAGTGTGGACGCTACCACGAATGTAGACAAATATTTTTATTTTTTGATGTTAAAATGTGCAGTCCTGCATTAGTTTATGTTGTGTTTATTATAAGATATTGCTGTTATTGACAAATTTTGTAAATTCGATGACTTTAAATAATTTTGCTCTTTTCCGCCATTTTAAATAATAAATCTGACGTTTCACGGTACATCCTCGAACAAAAATATTCAAGCCCTCACAGCTTTGAGACGTTTGTTTGAAATTATTCGCGTTCGTCCGTGTTCTTGTTTGTTCTTCTTTGTATTTTTTTTGTTCGACATGTTTGTTCGTGTTTGTTCGTTAGGTGTGGCGCACCTTAAGATATTGCTGTTATTGACAAATTTTGTAAGTTTGATGACTTTAAATAATTTTCTCTTTTCCGCCATTTTAAATAATAAATCTGATGTTTCACGGTACATCCTCGAACAAAAATATCCAAGCCCTCACAGCTTTGAGACGTTTGTTTTGAATTATTCGCGTTCGTTCTTCTTTGTATTTTCTTGTTCTACATGTTTGTTCGTGTTCGTTCGTTAGGTGTGGACGCACCTTAATGTGCGCAGATTGAAAATTTCAAACAAAAGCGAACGACGCGCATATCAAACGCCATGTACGTTCGTTAGGTGTGGAGTCACCTTTACTTTGTCCGCCATTATTGACATGACAGCTCATGAAAATTGCAAATCATGACAGTTTGAAGTCCGCATGAGAAATAAATTCATATTTGCATATATTATATATAAATATTTTAAAAATTACATTATTCGTCAATATTTTCTGTAGTTATTCATTAGTGATAATATACAAACTTGTTTTTGAAATGAATCGAGGAAATAATGGTGCCCTGTGGCATAAAATTGCAAGTGAAGCAGAATTAGATAATTTATATAATAATAATAGGCAATTTATTGAACAATTAACAGGTAGACAAAATGCCAAAATAGAATTTTATACAAACGCTGATGAAGCTATGTTGCAATTGCTTTTGGAAAGTGAAGAAGCCTTAGAGACATTTCAGCGAGAAGAACCTGATGAAATGAACTTTACATGTAAAAACTGCAACGAGACTTTTGATACTTCTACTGAATTAACAACACATTTAGAGACGCATGCGGACGAATCATATGAGTGTGATTACTGCGGCCGGGAACTTGAAAATATGAAAGATTTAAGAACACATCTCATCATGATGCATGACAACCTCCCATGCTCGATATGTGAGGATCTTTTTATCAGTTATGATGCACTTCATATGCATATGCTTAAGCATAGAGAGATGTGACTTTACAGCACATCTCTTTGTTCCTCCAAAGAATATCTTTATAAATACATACTTTGTAGTAAGACTACAAAACTAAAGATACACAAAATCATCTAATCCCCAACAAGTAATATCTGCAATAGCTCATAATCATAACCGGAAATATTAAAAAGACATTCGACTACTCATGTTCATTTCTGATCAACTAACAACACATGAATCATATGAGTGTGGTTACTGCAATCAAGAATTTGAAAATCTCATCATGTTTCATGAAAACTACCCATGCTCGATATGTGACAAGGTATTTATCAGTTTTCAAACATTTAAAATCCATAAGCTAAATCATATAGAGATGTGATCTTACATAACATCTCTTTCTTTTTCCATTTCTGTGCTTTGTAGTAAGACATTCAAGACAGAAAGTCTACTAAAATCACAAAATCATGCAATCCCAAAAAAGTAATATCTGCAATAGCTTATAATCATAACCAGAAAAATTAAAAAGACATTTGACTACTCATGTTCATTTCTGATCAATTAACAACACATAAGAATGAATCATATAATGAGTGTGGTTACTGGGGCCGGGACCTTGAAAATATGAAAGATTTAAGAAGACATCTCATCATTATTCATGTGAACTACCCATGCTCGATATGTGAGGATATTTCTATCAGTTATCAAACACTTCATATGCATATGCTTCATCAGATTGAGATGTGACCTTACAGATCATCTCTTTGTCTCTCCAGAGAAAAGTAAAGATACACAAAATCATCAATTCTCCAAAGCGTTAACATAAATGTTATATCTTCAATAGAAAAAAAGATATTTCACAATTCATGTTCAAGACATTCAAGACAGCAAGTCAACTTATTTTATCAGTTATCAGATGGCAAGTTAACTTAATTTATTAGTTATCAAACACTTTGAATGCATATGCTATTATATAGAGATGTGACCTTACAGAACATCTTTCCGTAGTAAGACTACAAGACTTAAATACACAAAATCATTTATTTTCCGAAGCATTTACATAAATATAATATCTGCATCATCGAGCGAAACATCCCCTTCAGCATCACAATTCATAAGCTTATAAGTATATCAGTATTTTGTTACTTTCATCCTACCATCATAATAATAACAACACACATATTTTTCGTGATTGATTGTTGAGCTGTATTAGATGCATCATGGAGAAAAATATCCCATTCAGCATAACAATTTATAAGCTTATAAGTATATCAGTATTTTTTTTACTTTCATCCTACTATCATAATAATCTTTCTCTCTTGTGATTGATTGTAGAGCTGTATTAGATGCATCATGGAGTAAAATATCCCATTCAGCATCGCAATTTATAAGCTTATAAGTATATCAGTATTATTTTTACTTTAGTAAGATATTTAAGAATAGGATTTATTTGAATAAGCATTTAATATTAAATATTTGTACTAAAAAGTGATTTGAAACATGGAAGTGATTTTAATTTTAAGAAAAGTGCCACAATTTATACCAGAGACTTATGTATGTATTATATGAAATTCTAAGTGTATACTGAAAATATAATAAAGATTTGTTACTATTAAAAATTGGTGTTTTAATAATTATTTGTTTTACAGCCAGAAAGATTGTCCTTTGAGTAGCTGTACTTGATCAAAGATAAAGAAATGATAGTCTTAAAGATGATTTATGATTGATTGTTGAGCTGCTTTAGATGCATCGAGTAAAATATCCCATTCAGCATCTCAATATATAAGAATATTAGTTTTTTTTACTTTTAGTGATTACATTGTGAAAACCAAACAACATAAATTGCAAAGGTTATACCTAAATATTCATCTGCTGAATTGGAATAATTATGAACTTAAAATATCTTTTATAAAATTATTTTGTTAACTTGATACATTTTTATACGAATATCTTTTTTTTCAGTAAGAATATATCTGCAATCAGTATTTTCTACTTAAATTAGTAAATCTTTAATTTTTTTTGTATTTTTTGTGATTTAGTGTTGAGCTGTATTAGATGCATCATTGAGTGAAAGATCCCATTCAGCATCGTAATTGATATAAGCTCATAAAAATACCAGTATTTTTTTACTGAATTACACAGATTACATCTAAATATTCATCAGCAGACTTGGATTAATTATGAATTTAATTTATCTCTTGTAAATTTCCAATATACTTTTTTCTTGACTATTATCCCAATTTTGTAAATTGTCAATTATTTGTATATATTTTCTACTTCTCTAGGTATCAAAGACTCTGCAGCCGAGCAGGTGCAAATGGTGAGACTTCTGAGGCACATACTACAAAAAATTGCAGATAATACAGGATTTTTAATTGAGAAAAGATTAGTAGACATTTTGAAACCATATGCTAAACAGGATACCACACTCATTGCTTTGGACAATGTTTTTAATGTAAATATAAATTATAATTATATGGCTATTTATAATTTAATATATGTATATATATATATATATATATATATATAAATTATAATTATATTACCTATTTAGAAGAGTATAAGTTAATAGGATGTAATGTTTCTTTCATTTTTAGGCTTTGAGTATAAACAGCGAAGAAGACATTTTATCACTTCGAGAGTTTTTTATGCCATATGTCCATTGTCCAATTTGTTCACAAATCGTGGAACAAAAAGCCACTGAGGAGCAGGAAAAGGAAAAAGAGGTGCAAACTCAAGATTTAACTAATGTACCAAGTAAGTTCATGCAGATGCATTTATTCCAAGATGTAAAATAGAATTTGAGTAAAGTTTATTTTTACTTTTTTAATTCCCGAAGGAGTAATTTATATAAGAGTTAACTTGTGGACATTTTGACATTTTTGTTCAACAGCTGTTTTGTGTCCTCCATTCTGTATGTTAAATTTACAAAAACATATTACGTAGCTGCTGCATAATAAACAAAAACAAAGCATTTATGTTTAAAATGATTAAAGAAATAATTTATAAATATGAGATAAGAACATTACATGGATTTATCCTAATCGGATACAATACATGTATGTTTATTGTTTACATTCCAATACCATAAATAAAATAAATAAATAATAATAATTTATTTGTACACGCTCACCTTACGATAAAAGCTTGTCAGCAAATATGTTAAGAGAATTCCTGGCTTAAATCACTTTTTTCATAAAACAAATAATATTTTGAATATTTTTAAAAAAACTCCTCAGTTTTAGTATTTGTTATCATGGTAGGCATATTAAAGTATAACATATAAAAATTAGAATATTTTAAAACAAACACACAAATTATTACAAATATTTAATACTGTACTTATTTATTGTATCACGTCAAAATACATTCATAGTTTTAGGAGTACTTTTTTTATGAAAAAAGTGTATATGTTAAAAATGTGTAAGAAAACTTATCAGTTTAAGTATTTATCATCATAGTAGACCAATTAAAGTACAGCATAGTTATGTTACACCTTTCTAAAAAAAATACCTCAATTGTAATAAATTTTTGAAACTTTACTCATCTACCAATTTCAAAAATTTACGTTAATATACATTTTTAGACTTGAAGGTACTTTTTTCATTAAAAATTAAATATCTGGAAAATGTTTCAGAAAACTCTTCACTTTCAATATATTTGTTAATATTCAATATATTTGTTAATTTAATAATAAATCATATATAAATATAATAGAGACCCTCGAACTGTTCTTTGGAATACTCCATCACGTTTGAAACTGTTTTGCTACTTACATCATTTTTATTCTTACCTCTCATTGTGATAAGAATTCTTGTATTATATTTATAACAAATTGTTCATATATAACAAAGGCCCTCGAACTGTTCCTTGCGGTACTCCAAGTTTGAAACTGTTTTGCTACTTAAACCTTACTCTTTCTTCTCATTATGATAAGAAAACTTGTATTATATTTATAATAAATAGTTTACATATAATAGAGACTCTCGAACTGTTCCTGGAGGTACTCCACATTTGTAATTTTTTTGCTACCTAAACCATTTTTATTCTTACCTCTCATTGTAATAAGATTATTACTTGTATTATGTTTATAATAAATTGTTTATATATCATAGAGGCCCTCGAACTGTTCCTTAGGGTACTCCATTGTAATTTCTTATAAATTTGCCTTACTCATACCATTTTTATTCTTACCTCTTATTGTGATAAGAATTCTTGTATTATAATACAAGATTCTAAAGTACTTAATTGTTTATTTCTCAAAAAATATTTTAGAAAAAAAACTTTCTTAAAATCTTTGAATTCTTCAACCGATGTCCATTTTTACACACATTTTTGAAGTAAAACTTCTTTAGGCGCGATATGGGTGTAAAAATTTTTAGGCGCGACACGGGTGTAAATCCGTACAAATGCAACGAAAATGCCAACGTGTAGTTGAACACTACGACGCCGTAAGCGCTGATGTCGCGAGTCGCGATCCACTCCCGTCATGTCATGCGTAAGTCGAGCGCTAAACCCTATATGAACTTGCATTAATTGAATCACGTTTTTTTACAAAAGAAGAGGTTGCTGTATTATGTCCTCATGGAATAAGACTTTTCTTAGAGAATAAATGTGCCATGGAATATAATAAATTTATATTGAATCTCGTTGAAGACAAAATAATATCTACTGCCACGGATATTTATGTAGGTTGCCATGCGACAGATCAACAATCATACATTCGTCAGCAGTTTCAAAAAAATCGGTTATTGATACCGGGGCTTTGCCGTATGAAATAATTTTAGTTCTGAATAAATTTTACATAATAACAACTAATATTGATGTAAGTGATGGCTTAGCTAATGGTTGTGTGGGAAAATTAGTGTACATAGAACGTGGCGATAATGATGAACTTCTACGTTTATGGTTTGAATTTCCCGGTAAGATAGGTAACAAAATTAGGAAGAAAGCTTCACATCATATTCAAACTCTTAATATCAGTAGGACAGCTGTGCCGATGCTCAGGAGATCTTATTATTATTGATGTTATATGATTATTAAAAGATGATTTTTAAAATTCAAATATGATGTTTTTTTTATTTTTATCTTAATTGCCTACTCATACAATATTAAAAGTTTTACTTCAATCGCGTGTGATCCTTACGCGCACTCTTTTTTTTTTTATTTAGAACAATCACAATTAGAAGAGTCAGTGCCTGATGAGAGTGTAGACCTAAAACGTACACCAACTTTAAGTCATGATTACTTGAGTTTGGAATTGGAAAGCACCAGCAGTGAATCAACAGAAGATGATCAAAATTATCAACATGAGGTGGGTAAATATAACAATTATAATAAAATTATATACACTTATTATTTATTTCATGTTTTTATTTCATTTATTCCTCCCTCAGGTTTGTGAAATAGTAGAAAAAGTTGGGACATTCACTGGAGAAGTCCAGAAAGCCCATGCTACTATTTTAACACCTGCAGTATCTGTTTGCGACTCCTCTAAATATTCTGAAGACTCTGATGGTATCAGCAAAATGCACATGTACAGATGCACAAATCCTGCACACCCTCTCGAGGTTGAATCCATTTATGCTGTGAGAGCTTTAAGAGATTTTGCTACTAAGTATTTTAATAGCAAAGTTGGGTAAGTGGTAATAAATTCTTAAATTGATAAGTTTGTTTTTTAGAAAAATTTAAGATATTTACTTTTTGATAAAAAAGTCACAAAGTCTAAGTAAGTATTTTGATGTGATACAATACAGTATTAAATATTTGTAATAATTTGTGTGTTTGTTTCAAAATATTGTAATATTTATATGTTATATTCTATGATATATGTCTACTATGATAACAAATACTAAAACTGACGGGTTTTCTTAGAAATTTTCAAAATATTTAAACGTAAATGCTTCGTTGTTTATTACGTAGAAGGTACGTAACATGGTTTCACAAATTTAACATACAAAATAGAAGACACGAAGGGTGGGTCTTTTGATTATGTATTGAAGGTTATTTATATTTATGATTTTTTTTAGAGATATTGTTACAATGAGTGAGAGGTTGGCTAGAGATAGAGTCACCATGTCGAGGTTGATGTCAGAGGAAGATGTTACTATGTACTGGAAACGTTTTCGTGAGGTCTTTGGACCTCAGAAGGAAAAGTTGTGGGATTCTTTGCTTATTGGGTTGAAGAAATATCATGCTATATTAAAAGGTAACTGACCAGTTACATTAGTCCTTGAGGATTAATTAAATATGGGGAATATATCAAATTTATCAATTTTTGAAATTTATCAATTTTTCAAATTTATCAATTTTTTGTCACAGATCGTTCAATTTTGGACTCTGAAGTATCACAATTGAAGAAACAAAATGCTGAGCTTAAGCGATTATTAGGACATTATCTTCCTACGAAACAGAAAAGTATTTTTCCACCAATTATGAAGTCGTAAGGAAAATATTAAAAGGATAAAGTTATATAAGCTTGATATTAATTTTTGTATATCCATGATAATAACAAAATAAGTGTGAAATTAAACATTTAAATTAATATATGAAATTTAAATTCAAATTTTGCGCGCTACTTCATATTTGACAGTAGCAAAAATAAATTGCTTTTAATATTTTAATTAACTAAAAAACATTAGTTTTATAAAATATTGATTTGTATGATTTTTGCATTATCATGCATTGTGTTCACATTTATAATATATTTATTTATCTTTAACAAAATATTTGAACATATAAGAATATATAATTTAAATTCAAATTTTCGTGCGCAAGTCCGCCATGTTTGACAGTTTTTAGATAAAATATTAATATAGTATAATAATCTACATATATATATATAAATAAGTCGGGTTTTCCTTCCTGACGAAATAACTCCAGAACGCACGAACCGAATTCGACAATTTTGCTTTCGTTGGAAAGATCTCGGGCTCCGCAAGGTTTATAGCTAAGAAAATAGGTGGTGCATGGCATCGTGCCTTAATGCAAATTGCTGGAACTTCACGCACCGTAATTAAAAATTCGAGGAATGACATTAGTGAGAATTATCAGAATTATGCTTGGTCAAGTCAACGAGCAATTCTTGCTGCAAAGAATAATGATGTACACGCACTGAATTTCACCATTTAATCAAAAATTGCTGGCGATTTGGTGACATACCAATGATTCTGACTGGTCTTCTGTTTGACTTCAAACGATTGCAATTTCCAGTTCGCCTTGCGTTCGCAATAACAAGTCGCAAGGCCAATCGCTTAGTGTTTGCGGGATAAATTTCAAATAGATTATTTAGAAAATTATTGTTTTTCACATGGGCAGTTATACGTTGCCTGTTCACGAGTTGGAAAACCATCCGCTTTGTTTGTGTTAACTTCAGACAAAAAACAAAAAATGTGGTTTACCAAAGAGCACTTCAATGAAACGGATAATTTGCGGATTCACTTTCATTTACTTAGAGAAGTTTAACTAAAAAACACTTCATTTTTGTAATCTAAATAAATTCATTACTGTTGTGCAATAAAATCAAATTTTTCATTTTCAAATATAAAACAAACAAAAAATTTCTTCATCTTTCTCACGAAACCATCTGGTGGCGAAACGGAGTTCGTCGGGTTTGCTAGTATTATATATGTATACCTATATATATTAATAAGTTGTTTTTGATTTGAGTTGATTAATTGATTTATATGATAATAACAAAATAAATGTGTATATATAAATTTTAAATTCAAACTTTCGCGCTCAACTTCATCTTTGACAGATTGAACCAAAAAAACAAATAAGATTTAAAAAAAAATAAATTGTTTTAATATTTTAATTAACTAAAAATAACATTAGTTTATAAAGTGTGATTCATATATTGTTACATTATTATGTGTTAAATTACTTATATTTATTATTTCGCTTAACATAATATGTAAAAGTGAACATTATAAATATACAAAATTTAATTCAAATTTTCGCGCAATTTCAAGTCGCGCCATATTTGACAGTTCTTAGATAAAATATAAACTGTCAACGTCAACAGTATCAAAACAACAAACATTTTCTGAAAATTAATTAACAAAATATTGATAATTGATTTATACAAGTTTCTGTCTTATTATTTATTTAAATCGCATTTAATGCATTTGTTGATCGTAAATTTCAAAATACTGAATCCGCCATTGTTGATCAACAGAGAACTGTCAAAGTCATAATTAAAATTAATTTATAAATAATCAATAATTAGGTTATTACTTAAAAATTATAATAGTATTCCTTTGTTACTAGGCAAATTGAATTAGGAATATTAACTGCGTTTTGGGACCAAATCGCATAAGTTTTATTCTAGGTTACATTCTACATAGAAAATGTCAGAATCCCTTAGTGATCAATCATCAGAAGTAGATCCTTTATCCTTAGATGATGTCACAGACGAACATTACGATGTCGAAGAATATTCTTGTGAAAATGCGACTTCAACACATCCTCTCTCAATTCTTATGAAAAGCACATCACCGACTGCAAAGACCTAGACCCAGACCAACTAAAGACCCCTCCGATAAAATTTTTGAATGCCCCATGTGCAACCAAAAGTTCGCTTTCCTAGCTTATCTATCCCGACACATGAACAAACATCATGTACAGACAAAGCCTTTCATTGCGATGTTTGCAAAAAGGACTTTTCAGGGAAAAGAAGTCTCGCTATGCATATGAGGGTTCATAAAGAGAAAGAAGTTCATCAGTGTCAGGAGTGTCCCAAGACATTCAAGAGTGAATTGGAGTTTGCAAAGCATATGATTTCGCATAAAGGTGAAAATCCTTTCGAGTGTGAGGTGTGTCATAAGAGGTTTGCTGTGCCGAATACGTTGTTGGTGCATACTAGGACTCATACAGGGGAGAAGCCTTATAAATGCAGTAATTGTGATAGATGTTTTTCGACGTCCAGCTATTTAACAGTAAGCAGTAAAATACATACCATATATATATACTTATTAATAGGCCCTAGAAACATTCATATGTGGTATGCTTTGCAGTGGGGAAACCTTCCATACAATTTGTAGTAGGTGCCCCTTTTATTTATATACCACGTGCTTTAATATATAAACATATATATAAATAAAATACGTACTATATGTATATATATCTTATAATATGCCCAGGAACATTTATATGTGGCTCGTGCCCCTTTTATTCATATAACACATACTTTCACAGTTACAATCAGTTATTTTATATCCTAAGAATTATCTAGAAATATATGTGTATACTAGATGTCCACAGACACTATTCCTATGTGTATCATTCAATCTGCCGTACATATACTGTATCATTCATTATTTTAATTTCTGGCACATCTCAGCTGCTTTTTGGCAATAATAATGTAGACATTTCATTTTTCTTATTCATAATCATGAATTCATTATACATATTCTAATATTGTCTAGGCTCATAAGTAAATTGAAATTTTTGGCAGATGAAAGTTTTCATTTGTTTTCAATGTTTAACAATGACATGTCGTTTTTGCGATTTTTTTCATTTATTTCTACAATATTACTCTATTTTTATAATCACATACATCCTAAAAAATTCCCTTAACAAACTTCAGAAATAAACAAATAAAATAAGCCTTTTTATTTCCTGCCTTTTTACATATTTTTACAGATTTTACAAACTTTAGAAAGATTGATCAAAATCCGAATAATCGTTCAGGAGTATATTTACATACTTCATTACAGAA